CGCCTCGTGTTTTATACCCGATAAAACACTCCTGCTCGTTTATTAAACATTACTTAAAAAATCAAGAACACACGTGTCCACGCCAATTCTAAGAAATACTAGTCGTACGTCTATTACTATACATTGAATGAAAATTCAGTCGGCTCATCGTAACTAAATTAAACTCGTCTCAATTATTTTTCCAATCGATCATTACTTCTGAAAAATAAGTCATTCATAAACTATACTTTCGATGTTAGTTGTTGCTTGGAAAATCGAAAACGAAACGAGGGAATCTTCATATGTTCATATATAGCAAGTGGTCGGAATTCAACACGAACTAGATTAAAAATAAGAGGATAAACTACTTACTTTCGCTTTTTAATTTCCTTCGTTCTGTCTTCTTGCTCGTTTTTCAACTACTGTCGGATCGTACTACTTTCCGATGTAGTTTGTCCCTAGAACTACAGATCGAAACCAACTTCCTTAGCGATTACCAGCTGAAATCATATCTGTCTGACCGCGCCTACAATGATTAATAACCTTATATAGAAAGCTTTCTTTCGTCATGTTCTATATTTAGAAGTATAACTTCATTGTCCAATTGCCTGGTCCAATTATGCGCATTTTCCTTTAAATCCTTCTTTAAATTCCCCTCTTCTCTGTTTAATGAAGCTAAAAATGGCTGCTGTTAAAGAGACTTAAGGACCGGAAAATTTATACCTTTGTTTTGATTTTGAAGTAACAATATGGTGTTTTAAATTTCAATTCAAAACGCGTCTTACATTGAAAATAGTGTCCACGGAAACAGAGAGAGAAGTGCGCGGAAAGAGAGAACGAGGAAGTAGAGGAGGAGGGGGCGCATGGGGAGGAAAAGGAGGAGGAGGATAAGGCCAAGGAATTGGAGGAGAAGGGAAATAGAAGCATGATGCAAAAAGAGAATACAGAATAGAAAAGGGGAAAAAAGGACAGGAGAAGAAGAGGTAGAAGGAAGACGAGGGAGCAGGAAAAGTTGAAGGATTAAGAGTGGAAAAGAAGGAGTGAAAGAGGAGAAAAAAAAGGTAGAAGAGGGAGAAACCTACTTATTTACTTACTTAAGCCCACCGCCCCAATAGGAGCATAAACCATTGATTACTTTACATTAATATCAGCACGGTTTTGGGGTTTGCTAGCAATCAGTGGCCAAGCCATATGACAACTGGCCTATCTTCTTCACCTTCTTCACTTCCTTTTATCTTCTCCAAGTCTCTTTCTTAAGAATTCCTCGGCCTAGGAGAGGGAGAAAGAAGAGAACGAGGAGGAAGTGAAGAAGGAGGGGAAGGAGAAGAAGGAAGAGAAGGAGAAAGAAGAGGAGGAGGAGGAGGAAGGGGGATGAAGGGGAAGAGGAGAAAGAAGTGGAGAAGGAGGAGGAAGGGTGAGGAAGAGGAGGAGGAAGAGGAAGAGGAAGAGGAGGAGGAGGAGGAGGAAGAGGAGTAGAAGCAGCTAGAATTAGATGAGGAAGGAAAGACAGAATTTCCCAACCATCGAATACCAAATCATAACTGAATCCATGAATACACGGCATTTGTAATTTACTGACATGGCGCAGTTCACGTATCTCAGTACTAAACCTTATCAAGTACAGAACTTATAAAACATAGAGTTATGATTTCATTTTGTATCAAGAATAAAAGAATACTTTGGTCTGCGCGGGGCAACTTATGGATCATTTCGCTTTGTCTTAGAAAACCATAACGTCATCATCTTCGTCTGATTCATAGTCTCGATCTGAGATTAGAATGTCATCGTCATCGTCGTCGTCATCATCGTCGCCATCATCGTCATCATCATCGTCGTCTTCGTCATCTTGATCTTCTTCGCCCTCGTCTTCTGAATCCTGAAATAAAATGAATGAAAACTTGGCAAAAAGTATTTGGAATTGAAGTATGTTAAATATATTATGAATCCAATGCCGGAACCAGCAATTTTCTTGTTCTGTTTGCAGTGATTTGTTAGTACTATTCTGTTGTATACGCGCACACAAAATTCGCACCCAGACCAAAATGAACGCAGACTTTGGGAACGATTGACGTCGTCAAACTGAGTTTGCGCGCACAAACCTCATGCGTAAAAAGAATGCGCACGACCAAGAGATACTATGCAGGACCTTCCTTACGGTCACTGGAGGGGATACTTTGATCTTTCAAGGTAGTTTGGATATTTACCTCGTCTTCGGTGTCGAACCTTCTTGATCGCCCAACCTCGTACAGACGACATATACTTTCTTCGGTACTCGTTTGATTCTAGGTGAGGATAAGAAAATGTTGGTATCATCAAAGTAAAATGCTGCGAAATCGTGACTAACAAGACTACAATTCACTGAAATCAGGCAAGAAAAGAGATTTTATTGAACAGTCAAAACTRCAATTCTGTAATCATACTCTCCCTCATTCTTGTCCATCCTACAGCATACCTACTCATCGCACCCTGGTATTCGTAAGTATGAACCATTCGTTATCCTAATATTCCTTGTCTCATCCTGTCTCATTACACGTTCTACTCAAATTGAAGGAAGGATACTCGAATCGTAAAAACTTCCAAGTTTTTGGTTAGTTTTTTAGATGTATATGCTGTAAATCATTTTTGCTGTAAAAAAAATTATTTTCATCACTCGGTGTATTTGAACTCAAGGCTTCATCTTAGAGGGTTTGAAAAAATAGAAAGTTTAGGAAATAATAACCTGGAAAAAAAAAAAAATCGAAGTGTTCACGGTTCGAGTGTCATCACTGTAACAGTTTTTCAAAATTCTCTTTCTTTCGCCGTTGTTTCCCTTCTTTCTTCCTCCCTCCCTCTCTTCCTTTTCTTCCCTTTCATCCTTCCTTTTTTCTTTCTTCGATACTCGCACTCAAATATCTCACCTCAATCACTGCTACGAGACTGTCCATAGGATCAGTTGCCAAATCAAATATTGTTTTCTTGACATCGATTGTTGCTGAAAAAATGTCAACATGACGATAAGTAGCTTGCAATCATCTCCAGGAGAATGAAATAATTAAAGACATGACAGCCATTAAAGGGCAAGACAATAGCAATATTATGTCATATTGTCCTTTGAGAAAGATAATCCCTTTTCGAGTAGTACTGTGTTTTTTAAACTACAACATGGATGCCCCGAAACCCCTCCGTAAGACTCGCGTTTTCATTGGAACAATACATACATACATAGTTTATTCAAATCGCAAATAAATTATTGACAAATAGTAAAATACAAGTAAGAGCAGAGGCTAGCAAAAAGCGATACAAATAAGACAACAAAGCACAATAATAGGCGACTTGAAAGGAAGTTATGAGGYTATCCCTATGTGAAAACTCCCAAGAGTCAAAATAATTATGACGTAACACAAGAACATAGGCTAAAGATCTTTATCTAGGCTTGCTGGCGTCGTAGTTGCGAAAGGGTCCAGCAAGTGCGACCCTGCATGGTTGGGCTGCCTGTGCTTTATTCAGCGCGCGTTCATTAACAGAGAAAGGAAGGACTTTGCAAAAGTCTGATCGTTACCTATTGGTTGATAATCGGTGGCGTCGAATGTGCGGAACGAGGACTCAAAAGGCCCAAGCATTCTTTGAGTCATCATACTATCTTCAGTGTCTGGAACATGTTTGACTAGAATCATATAAACAGCATTAATATATTACGAATAGATCAATGTAAATCTAAATTAATCAGTAATCGGCTGCACTTAACGTCATTTTGATTTCCTTTTAACGTAGAATCGTAACTCTTATTTGGTTGACATCACATGGTGGTCAATGTTTGACCACCATTTGTAGCAGATAACGACATTGAAGGACTTTCGTCAGCTGGGCCCGGTTGTACGAAGAGTGGATAGCGCTATATAACGGGAAAATTTTATCCAGGATAAATTTATTGTATATCAGCATCACTTTATCAACTGGATAAGGATTTATCTATCGGATAGCGCTATCCACCCTTCGTACAACCGGGCCAAGATCAATTTTTATTAGCAATTTGATCAGTTACATGGGTCACAGGAACCGAATTGAAAAGTCTTAGCACAACAAATGAGGTTCCATTACCGTTGACGGTGCCAATAAATAGTTAGGAAGTTCTTGTCAACACAAGTCAAGTGAGTCCTGGTACGTTATCCATGAGTAAAGCTCTTTCAATCATATATAATGTTGACACTTACTTCCATATATGACATCATCACTGTTGTTGAATACCACGTGACACTGGTCTAGAGAGGTGCACGTATTTAGCAGATGAAAGGATCGCAGATCCCACTGGGTAAGTAAGTCAAGGACTGATAACACAACACATTTCCATTCTATTTTCGCCCATCCGGAATTGAGGGAGGGACTGGAAATGAGTGTAGAAATATTAATCGAATCAAAAAAACAAACCCTATCACATGAAAGTGCACACTAAGGCTGCGTTCGGGGGGGGGGGGGGGCAGGTGAAAATTTGAAATGTCCAGAATAATTCTTAACACCCCCCTTAAAGTCATGCAAAAAAATACGATCCCCCCTAAGCAAGGYTTGTAGCTTCTTCCAAAAATTGTGCATCCCCCCCCCCATTTTGCCCGTCCCCCCTTTTTTCCTACCAAAATTTTCCCAATCCCCCTCAATTTCACCTGCCCCCCACCCCCCTCTGCCATACATTATGAACGCAGCCTAAAGTTATTAGTTTATCGAGTTTTAGAATGTTTGGGCAAATACTGAAATACGGTACAAAACGAGAGAGAAATTGTATGGCTTTCGGTAAACTGTCCTCTAGCCCCATGTATATTCGATATTGGCGTAAGATTAATCCTTATATTATTTTTTAACTTTAGGTCCAATCAAAACCTTATAAATTTGGAGTGCGCAATTCTGTAAAGGCTGGTTTAGACGGTACAATTTTCGTATACGATAGCTGTAGGTGGAAATCGTACCGTCTAAACCGGCCTTAAGGAATGTTCTAAGACGACCAGATTGGTACAAATGATGTATTTATAGTCTTACACGAAGACTCTGCTTAAACTGAAAGGATACGACTTCGGAGTTGATGATGATTTCAAGACCAGATGGATGAAAAACACCGCTGACATAATTGTTGAACTTATCAAACTTATGAATAACCCGTTTGCCGCGTACATCCCATAATACTCCATCATTCAGCACCAGGTCGTCTGTCGGGTTGAAGCAGGCCACGTTTTTCCAGTAGTGATTGGCGCTAGTTGAGTCTGATAGTGTAAAAATGAGCTGGCCTGTTGATGCGTCGTAAATCTATCAAGAGAAAAGAAAGTTTAACAGTTTCTTCTTGTCGACGCACAAAACGTGAGCTAAAAATGAATGATATGGGCATATTAAGTACACATAAGTTATGTAACTATCCAATCATTTTACCCAAATTGATATTTAGATCAAAACGAATCAAGCGGAATCTCGCACAGTGGCATTTCTATGGGTGTTCCGAATTTAAATGGAATTAGAACTGTTGATTTTTGCAGAGGGCACCCTCGTATAAACCTTTTTACCTTGGACGTTTTTTTTGTCTCGTTTTGTGTGTGTGTGTGTGTGTGTGTGTGTGTGTGTGTGTGTGTGTGTGTGTGTGTGTGTGTGTGTGTGTGTGTGTGTGTGTGTGTGTGTGTGTGTGTGTGTGTGTGTTTTCTTTTTCTTTAGGCCCTTTTCGATCTCAGTTACTTTAGTCAAGATTAGTCTCTAATATAAATAAAAAACATTTGTATCCTAGAAGAACTTACGTGCGCGGTGTCTGCATCCGTGCCAATGACCCTGTCTTGAGATACGTTACTAAACCGCACATAATGATCATCCGGGAAAGAGAACCTACGATCAAACAAATAGTTCAGGTAATCAGTGGCTTTAAAGTAATAATATCCTTTTCCCATGGACAACTATAATAAAGATAGGATCAGTGGACCATAGATCTAGGTCCTGATCGCCAAATGCTTGGGACATATTTCGGAAAGAAATGACAAATGTTTAAGACAAACACGACAAAAAAGGAAGAATAGTTGAAGGAGTTAGAGGATCAACTCGTCTTACTTCATTTCGAATATCTCTCCTATGCTCCAGAGCGCGCAGGGAGGCATTCCGAAAGGAGAGGATGTAAGGATACAATCATGATTCTGGAAGGAAAAAGAGAGTAAAAGAATGTTTAAGTAGATGATCTTACCTTCTGCAGAAAGCAAAGGAATTAATTTAAAAAAAATAAAAATCAAAGGTGGAAAAGGAAAACAAGGATTGATAATGCAATGTGAAACAAGTAGGTGGAAAATGAAGAAAGATGGTTTACCTTATTGGGCTGACACATCGAAATAGCTGCATTATTACATGAATAGGTTACTTCTTCCTGTTGATATAAATATTATTACAATGATTAGCACTGACCATCATCATATCATCATAATCAAGTATCACCATCACTATGTATCATCATCATAATGTGTTATCATGTATCATCATCGTCATGTATCATCATGTATCATCACCATCATGTATCATGATGTATCATCATGTATCATCATCATGTATCATCATATGTCACTTCATAACCCCCATCATCACCTTGTATCACCGTCATCATCATCATCATCATCATGATAATTGAATCATTCATTACCTCTCCCGTATAGAAATTATAGACCTTTAACTCTCCATTTCGAGTTCCCAGTGCAATGGTCTTTCCATCAGGCTACAAAGAGAGAAACTGATAATGGAATAAAATGGAAATACAATAGAAACGAAATGTCATACCAAGAATAAAGTAAAAGGTGCTTCAAAAAATATGAAAAGAGACAACTTTAATCTAATTAAAAAGGCACAACTTACCAAGAATGATGCACATGTAAAGACGCTATTTTCCTCGGTGTCTCGTATCCCTCGCAAGGGACGAAATCTGAAAAGCATAATGTTATAAAATTTGAATTTGAGCCATGTTTCTGAATCTCAGCAATGCATGGGTTGAATCAAATGGTAATCAATGGAAAGGATGAATAAGACGTTGATTGGTAGAGATGGGGTTGATGAATTAGCAGGTGATTGGTCTAAACTGAACCAGACGCTGATTAGTCAAAAAGCGTACTGAACTAGCAGGTGATTGGTCGATAACTATCACGAACCTGACGCTGATTAGTCGAGGGGTACTGGTAGCAGGTAATTGGACAAAAGCTATGCTGAACCAGACGCTGATTGGTCGATAGACAGCTAGATTAACATCTAATTTGTGGTTGGGATGGGAGTTGAGTCAAGCTAAACGAATTATTTAACTGGAATGTAACTCACCTACTGTATACGAATTTTCTGCTGCTTCTTGCTCCATTGAACCCACCGTGACGAGGATAAATCTGTTCATGAAAAATAGAAGTTACGCAAAATAACTTCATCCACGCTTGAGAAATTCTTTCCTCGCTTAATGAAAAGTTTAGGAACCATTTCTAAAGATGAGGGGAACTTTGAACGATGTATAGATGAACTCTATATTTAAGTGGCCTTAGCATTAAATATATTTTCTGCGCACTTACCTCTCGTCTGGTAAGCCTTGTGGTGATGTTTGTTGGAGCGAAATGTTTGAACTTTGCTTCTGGACATTTGTGCGAACTGAAAAAGTTTGGGATCTAAATAAATATCTAGAAAAGATTATTTCTTACACCAGCAAAACCTTTATCAATATTTGCAATACGGGGTAGTGGCAAATTAAAGAACAAACCATTATATTGAATACGACCTCACAGTTTAAATGATTTGTGACACTTTTTACCTCGAAATGCTAGCAAAGAAATCCAGCAAAGATATTCAAATCCTATCAATAGCATCAATAGACCTCTTGCAAACGACGTCAAAGGAGATCAAATTGGAGGACAAAATTTAAAAAAAAATTCAATGTCCTGAGAATTGGAAACCTATTGTTTTGCCCTCCAAATTAGGCTGCATTCCGATGTGCTGCAAGGGGTTTATATTACTGCTAATGCGCCGCCACCCGCGCTTCGTTTTTTCTGGTTATTCGATTTTTAACCCAAAGTATATGAACCGTTTTTTCAAGGTTGCGTGCGCATCCAACTTGACGGGCCACAAAACTAAAAAACGCAAATTCAGTAAAATTGAGAAGACAGTTTTATATTTAAAGAGGAGAATAATCGACTTTATGATTTCTTATCGAAAAAAATTTTCATAGCAATGCATGATAATACTCGTGTTCTGGTATCGTGGCCCGTCAAGTTCCTTAAATTTGGATGCGCACGCGACCTTGAGAAAACAGTCTACATGTATTCGTTTTTTTCCACTGAATACTACTGTTTCGTCCGCGTCCTAAATACTTCTTTTTTTACCTTAAAAGTGAAAATGGCGGACAAACCGAGACAGGATTACTGCACTGCGCGTGCTGCTCACGGAGAAACCGCGTCACAATAGCATCGAGTGTAGGAGGAGCCTGAGAACGATGTGGAGGAGACAACATATTCGGCAACAATCTCTGGATAATGAAGCAAAACAAGTAGACGTTATTACAAATAGCATTTCAATAGATTTTATCACGAAAAAACTTGGCCATTAGGTAGACTATGATTTATATATTTACATCGCGCAAATATCAATATCAGTATCAAAATTTTCAAATGTGCACAAAACCGTGCACATAAAATCTTTGTTATTTTACGTAGGTACATGAATTTTCAATCAGTCAAAATGGTAAAATTGAGCAATTGTGTCTGTGTAGGTCCCTAATCAGTCTTCTTTTAAGGGACAGAAATTTTCCCCATCGTAGCTGCGTTGCACTTTGCTTGTGCAAAAGATCCCTACTCCTTGTTTGACCAATCATATTTTCAATCAGTAGAAATGCGCATCGTATTCTAACCACTTTCCTCGCGTCATGCTGCGCTTCGTTTGCGCCTTTAATCATCGCTTAGAGTAGTTATGAACACGGTTGTGACACGGCAAGGGATACGCTTAGGGATATGTTACCTTTTCAGCGGGGGTTCCAGGAGCCCCGAATCGATAGCGTGATGGTGCAGGAGTTTTAGAGGGAGAGTTCAGTATTGATCCTAAAGTAGTTGATATACTGCTGCTGCTCAACCTCTGGAATATAAAATAAGAGAATTTGAAATTATTTTAAAGGAAAAATGTTGTGAAAGATAAATCYTATGTCTTGAGTTAAAAACGACGGAGGAATGGATGAGATGGATGGATGGGATGGGATAGGATGGATGGATGGATGTGTGGGTGGATGATGGATGGATGGGTGGAGGTGGATGGATGGATGGATGGATGGATGGATGGATGGATGGGATGGGATGGGATGGGATAGGATGGATTAATGGATGTGTGGGTGGAGGTGGATGGATGGGTAGATGGATGTGTGGGTGGAGGTGGATGGATGGATGGATGGGTGGATGGATGGGTGGATGGATTACAGCATACCTTAGGGTTTGTCATGGGAGATATTATCTGTTGTTTTAGTTGAGGAAGATGAGCTTCTTTTAGCAACTGCTGGGCTGTTTCATGAAGACCTATCAAGATAAGACAAATAATTTAGAATTTATTACAAATATGTGGGAGAACATTCTCTTGAATATATGTAGCTTGTATTTAATATCCAAGTGCTGCCAGGGCCAGGTCATAGAGCATTCTACACCCAACCCTCATAGAAACTTCTTACCATTAGACACAAGATGATTGTAGATTAGCTGAAGTAATTCTTTGGCTGGGTACGTTATTCGCGTCTGGGCCACCACATCAGCCTGCATTGACAATAAGCACAGTAATATTGGAACTATTGGGACAAATTGGACGCCATACGCATGACGTCACCTACCAAAAGTTACTGGGGTAAAGTGTATGTAGCTGTTTAATTCTATGGGTGATGTAATCTAATACAGGACTTCATTGTAAGGCGTGAATGAAGATACTGCTAATGAGAAACTTGGATATTGCTTTTTTTTAAAACCATTCCAGTTTATTTGTTGTCACTTCTCTTTCTCCAGTTCTTTTTTCCTTCTTCTCTCCGTTCCTTCCTTCTCTCATCCTTTTCCCTTTTCACTTCATCTCCTCCCTTCTTCCTTCGCACCCTTATCCCCCTTCTATTTCTCCCTACCTCTTCCCTTTCACTCTAACTTTTTCTATTTTCTTTCTAAAATGCATCAAGCAAGTCATTCTTAGTCATTCTGAGGTTGAGAGAAAAACTGAGTCCAGCTTTTCCCTCAACCTTGGAATGGCTAATAGTCAATGTTCACTTGTGCTAAAAACTGACTTGAGTTACATAAGGACCATTTTGTTAGTTTAGATACTAACCTTAGTGATTCTTGATAGAGAAGGCACAGCTGATGTAGTGTTTCCAAGAGGTTTACCAGTCACTCTCTCAAGGAGCTCAGCTGCATATTTACAAAATACCATGTGGTCGGCCATGTTGTCCTCAAGGACAGGGTCCAGCATCAGTACTTAAGAATATGAATAAAGAATCGTTAATAGTTAAAGACATCAACAACCATTAACCATTAGTAACAAAGCAGAGACATCAATAAATATCTCTAGTTTTTGAAAGCAAATGCGTGCCTTTTGAATGCAAGTGTCTGCAATATTAAAGGAAAGCAAGCAATAATAATAACAATAACAATCGACTTTATATTGGTGGTTTTCAATCATCCCCAAGTGAATGACATAGTGAGAGACATGGCGGCCATGTTGCATGATATAGTAAAATAATTCATTGACAATTCTTTTGTTAAATTCAACCAAGATGGAGGCTATGACGTCATGTGCAAACGAGGCTAACACGTGACAGTTGCAAATTAATATTGATAAGCTTGTGGCCCTCTATATTTAACGTATCTTAGTGAGACGTGGCCGCCATTTTACGTGGTCATCTGAGCCACGTATTGCCGGCTTGACTTTGTGGCAAATATACGTGGAGTAATAAAAACCCGACTTACTTTGAAGCTGCCCACTATTAAAAAGTTGAAGTTTCCCAATAACTTGCTTAATCTTGTCGCTTCTCGATAACCCGCACAAAGCTTTGCATGCCAGGGCTCGTATCAAGTCGGCATTGACCAGCGGTGTCTTGACTAAGAGCAAGCTCAGTAGAACCTTAATGCCGTTGTTGTTTCGCACACAAGACCACATTTTTGTCACAATGTCTTCTGGACCCCGGTGTAGTCGCACTCCTCGTCCACGAAGCAGCAAAGCTAAATGAAGTTGCTGTGAAAAGCGAATGCAATACTTTGATCAAAAAAAGTTTATTTCATAAGCATTACTGGATAAACGTTTTTAGAAATCCAAACCAGAAATGAATAATGTTAATATTTTTCCACGGCAGAAATTTACAAATTTATAGAAAGAAAATCTTTTTGCGCGATAGAATTGTCGTGAGAAAAAACATCCGACCCCCGCCCCTCCTCTGGCATTTTTCCACTGGAGACATAAGCAAACAATTTTTCATAGGAGAATGTCATTATTTTTACAATATGTACCTTGGGCTTAGGTCCACAAACACAGTTACAGATAACACGAAGAGCCCATATTTGGATGTCTATGTCTGACACAAGTTCCCCCTCAGCTGCTTTTAACAGAAGCCTATAAACAAATGGAATATATCGAGTTTAGTTTACAGTATTTTCCACACACGCGCAAAATCGTACAATTTACTGTCGCGACAAAATTAGGTTTGGGCGGACGTCAATCAAGGTGTTTCCATGACATCGTAGGAAAACAGAAAGTTTTCAAATGCACATGCCTATGGAATGTCATGAAAGATCTACCTGTGCCGTAGCAGCCTTCAACGCGCGCACATGCAAATGCGCTTATGGAGGCACTACCTCAACCGGGCATTATTTTGAATACATGCTACGCGCACGCTTCCACAATCATTATTACCTCATTCCACTTTCAGCTTCTCCCGACGGTAAAGTGATCTGTTCACACAACGCAAGTTTTGCTTTCGGGTAAACAGTGAGAACGAAAAGCGTTTCAAGAGCCAGTCGCGTGACGTCGCCTCGACAGCTGTATCCTCTCCAATCAGATGAAAGGGCGACTATTTGAAGCATGAGGTTAAACCCTTGTAGACTGTTCATCATTGCTAATGGTGACCATACTACAGCTGCAGATGGATGTTCCAGCATCAGGTCTACGTTGTCTAGTAAGCTCTCTTGACTCAGGGATGCCGCCTGGTGGGATCAAAGTTAAAACTATAACATCACTAAATACACTGGTTTACRAAAGTACTTAGAGTGTCTTTCGTGTTCCAGATATCCAGACTACTTCAGACAAGACACGCATTATCGTGTTTTCACTGTCAAGTATCAGATTTACAAAGATCTGAGTTAAGAGTTATTTGATTGTCGGAAGCGAAAAGCACAGACCCCTGGAAATTGTGGAGTCGCAGAAACGTGAAAAGTGCTCTTACACGACGAAAAATTGTGAAGTTGAAGTTACATTGGATTCCTAAAATAGTTAATAACATAGATTACATATAACAGTTACACAAAACAGTTCAGAGAAAACTTGTGCACCAACACGTTGAAATTGTGGCGGTCAGTTTTCGATTTGTAATATAAAAGATGGCTGATTTTCATCGCTTTCGCTTTCTTAGCTTCAATTTTTATCGCTTCCGTTTTCATCGCTTCCATTTTCGTCGCTTCAATTTTCAACTCCGCAATTCCACAGGAATAAAAAAACATGTAAGTCAGCTTCGCCACTGGCAGCGGAAAACCGAGCTAGGCAATCGATACAAAAGAGTACCACACTGATTTTAGATAATCAATACCTTGTAGGCTGGTACAGGCACTGGAGGAGTCCCACCAACGTTCCTTGAATGCATCCTTCTTGCTGAATCGGCTCTGACATGAAGATGAGCCGTAAAATATTTGCGTAAAGCCATGCAGGTGTGCTTGACGGTCTGACGGCTGCCAAATACTTCATCATCATTTAATATCTCTGCTTCTTCGACTCGTAGAATTGGCAGCGTGCTGAGCTGTGAACAGGGAACATTTGTTGCGAAACCTATTATACACACCCTTAATATATGACAGACCACAATTAAAGTGCTTTTCAACAGCACGCGCACGCGCACAATCATCGTCGCAACAAAATTATAGGTTTTGATGGACCTCAATGTCGTGGGGAAATTTCACGCGTGTGATTGGGTAGCACTGTAAAGAGAGACAAAAAGTACCAAGTGTACTTACTAGGTTGATTAGCTTTCTTAGACCATCCCCAAGGTCAAACAGTTCAAGAACAGCACGAAAAGCAAACGTGAGGGAGAAGAAGAGCGTTGCGTGACAGTGACCAGAATCATGTGAGCACTCCAGTAGCCATAACGCGTACTTTACCATGTCATTCAGAACAGGATAGGGAAGAAGACACACCTAACAGGTAGAAACAGGTATAGATATTATAAGCCGCGCATTTATTACAATATAGATATAGATGTAATTCACCATTTTCCATACATCGGTTCACTGGTCAAACACAAA